TTTTTTTTTTAAATTATACTTGATTTGTATCTTTATTCACTTTTACGTCTTCTTATTACATAAAATCTTTTATTAAGTCAAAACTATAATTAGTGTTGGGTAAATTACTTTAAAAAAGTAATAAAGTTACTTTACTCGTTACTTAGAGAGAAATGTAATAAAGTTACTTTATCCGTTACTCTAATAAAATTGTAATGAAATTACTTTACTTTTGAAACTGAAAAGTAACTCATTACTTTCTCGTTACAAAAAAAATAAATATTTTTTTATATTTCTTAACAATATTATCATTGCGYCTGGCAATAATGTTACTARAAATACATTACCTATAGTCAATAGATGTAATTTGAAGAAGAAATCWATATACTATAATCAATATAATACAATATTATTATTTTATATTTATTTATGTTTTAAATTAACTTTACACAATTTCACACAATAGTGTATCTTCATAGTTTTTGTCACTCATACGCGACTTTTTTTAGAACAAATGTCCCTTGAAACACTAAATAATCGCTCTACAGAAGCATTGAATGGTAAAGCTGTATTGTATTAAATAAAAATATTCTTTACTAATGTCATTGAATTCAAAATTGTGAGATCAGCTGTATAAGGAGCTTTAATAAATATATATATATAGTATATTACTATACTAGATTGGTAAACATAATAATACCCGCATTATAGACATATTTTTTTTTCAATTCGCAAAAGGTAGGTACTTAATAATTTGAAACTGTAACGCGTTATTCAATAAAAATTACTTATTAAAAGTAGTTACATTACATTACATTACATTACATTATCCATTACATTTTCATTACTTGGAAATAATTCTAATGAAATTACATAAAGCGTTACAAGCAAAGTAACGTGTTACTTTTGTTACGTTACTACCCAAAACTGGCTATAATTTGTATTTACCAAAAACATTGTTTGTCATAATATGATTTAGGAATCAAATCCGTTTATTTTAAATATAAAATAAAAAATATGTTAACAATAATTAAGGACCTAATTTATGGATTTTAGACAAAACCATTCAAATCTTATAAAGAATTTGTAAAAAAAAATTATCAAATATGAATTTATCATAGTGATATTCATCTTCATATATTTGATTGGATAATTTAAATCAATGTTTGTAAAAGGTGTAATAAAAAACATAATTCACCATTTAATAAACCGATTCCACAACATAGGTACTTACACAATTTTTAGAACTTTTGCTTATAAGTATAGGAATGTGATGTTAATTATTTAAAGTTCTTAATTAAAAAAAATTTACCTTAAATGTAATTTTAGACTTTACACGTGTGGCCAATGAATTGTTTACAGACTTATCAAACTGCAGCAGGATTTTCATGCCAAGAGCAGGTGTTATTTGACCATACTGAAACATCAAGATGCACGATTTAGATAATATATTATGCAAACTATTACTATTACGTCCACAATTTTGCATATGAAGGATGTACAATAGAATGTTGGTAATCTGGCCATTTGATAACCCAGTACATCCAGTTATCTATTTATCCTAGTTAACTTAATCTATATTTATTCTGTCGGATAACCATAGAATTAGTATCAAAGAAAAATACAATAGAAAGTTTTAAAAGCGTAATTTCAAACAAAAAAATAAAAACAAATTGTTAATTTTTTTAAACCCGTCCAATCAAAAGATTAATTCAACACAGTATACAACAAAGTAGTAAACATGTAGAATAAGGTTATTTATTTTTTAATAGGAATAAGTAAAAATGTGTTTTTATGTKAACCATTAATGCAGCAGTACCCTGGTTTYTGTCTTTTATTTATTACAGTGGTGTACCTACCCAGAGTTTTCGATTTTAGTACTGTGGGTCTGCCTCACTTAAGAGATGGAACRGTGTATAAACTTCAACCGACTATGTATTACAAAGTCACTCACGATTTCATTTAATTATTTCTATCACATTTTGATCCAAACATTTCACAACATTAATTGTAAATATTTATATTGCATAAGTCATAACTTGTACTTAAGTACATTTTAAATTTTAGAAACTTAAGATATCAATTAATTGTTATTTTATTCGACTTAGATACATTATTTAAGTCAATGAGTTTAAGTAAAATTTCATACCCACTATTTATATTTATACATATACTCAAACTTCGCATCTATATATCAGTGGCGTTATTTGGGGTAAGTGGGCATTTACCCTTGTCTAATTCTAAAAGCAGCCCGAAAGGTAGGTGCCCAGTTATTATTGCCTACATTATTATATTTTGAGGAATATTATATTGTGCACTAAGAAATTATCGTCACAATCTTACAATTATGGATTGTTAATTATTAATTTATAGTAGGAATATATGCATATTTAGACTAGATATATTCTGACTAGATTTTCATGAAAATTGGTACCRATGAGTGTTTTATGAAGATATATGAAGTAGGAAAATACTAGCTCACTGTTTCTTTTGAATTACCCATTTGTGCTGGTCAAAACTTTTGCCTCCTCTATTAAAAACTGAAATGACACCACTGCTATATATTCATTATAAAATAGGTACTTATTAGAGTATAMCTATAATTTTATAGAAACATCATTGAGTCTGTGTATATTTTATAAAATCGTTTATAAATTAATATTAGTCATTTTATTATTGATGACTGCACAAATTTTTTAAATAAAAAAAATGTTACGTGGCTTATCGTTTTGAGGGACCACATTTTACTGAGGAAAAGTCAGCGAGTCAACTGACTACACCAACCCACGCCTAGGTCCGCCACTTACTGGTTCGATATCTGTCGGATTACCACGATTCTACAGTATTGTCAGTATTACCTGAATCATTTCGTCAATGCTCTCTTGAAGAGTATTTCCCAGAGTTGTGTTTCTGTACAGTTGATAAGACATGTTGGCACGAAAAGACGCCTCGGTTGTCGGAGAAATGCGGTGTTGGTCGACGGACTACAATTCAAAGCCGTGACATAGATATTTAATTTCAATTTAATGATCAATCGAAGCCAAGCTACCGACAAGTGACAATACGAAATTAAGAATTTAAGAACCCGTGTAGCCGAGTACCAAACAAAAATGTCGAACCAATATTATTATCTAGTATCTACAGCAGCTCTCAAACAACAAACATTATTACTGATAACTGTTATAGATAACGTTCAAATGGCGGGAGGATCATTAGGGCCCGTATTACTGGTATTACAATAGTTGAACTCCGGTTAAACCACAGAATTTGGCCGGTAAAATCAGTGGTCCAAGCATAACCGAGGTATGATTGTAAAACGGGTCCTTAGTCCAGTGTGTCTCCACTACCACTATCCTCAGGGTAAGATTCATGGCTATATTGTTTATAGTTGAATCGTATCAAAGCATAAAAAGTCTGTGGTTAAAAAAATCAGGTATGTTTTACAGAAAAACTATTTTACATAAACTATTCACACAAAAAGTTAGTTATTCAGTAGGTGCATAGGTATATGAGTAAAACATAGAACTCAACAAACTTTTAATTTTAACTTTTAAAATTAACAAATACTAGATTGGTAATTTAGTTAAAAATAATGACTTGATGATCAGTAGGTAGGTATATATATTATGTTATAATACATTATATATTTATATGCATATAGTATATACTATGTACAACGTAATGTACTATGTAGTATAGTATAGGTACCTATGTTCAGGCCCGGATTGGGCCGCCGAGTTACCGAGCAAAACTCGGTGGGCCGGTGAAAATGTGAAAAGTTTGGGCCGGTGTCCACTACTCAAAAATGCGGATTATAAATTGCATTTCAAAAAAAAAAATAATAATTTGTTAAATTATYGTTATTTTAAAATTCAAAATGTTGATAAATGAAAAATATTGAAATATGTGATAAGAATCCTCGTGATTATTACAAACTTAGATCATATACAATCTAGCATTACAAAGCATACATGGTGATTATAATCAATGACGATTTAAGAT